TGGTTCCATGTGAAAAAACGTGCTCACATGAAAATTTGAAGTGGCATTCTTCAAATTTTATGACTTGACGCTAACCATTTATTGCTTGATGTATGTTTAGTTTTTTAAAAGTATAAATAATAAATTCTTAGAAAATGTTCAGTACGATTAAGATGAAGATTTATGGATGATGTAAATAATTTTTAAGAATATTATTAGTTATTGCAAAGTAGTTTCTTATAATGTAAAGTTAAAGGTTTCAATAAAATAAATGGCTTTAATATTTTAACACATCTAGAAGTTATTGGAAAAATAATAACATTAATAATTTGAGTAAAGTCGTTTTAATGTTAATTTTTTATTGCCGAAAGTGACACATCTTATGAAGAAAAAAAAAATTTCTAAAAGTTAGCAGGTTTCGAATAGAAATCAAAAGACAGCAACAAAAATTTTTAGTTAATTTATTGAAATATGGACTACCATACAACGCTGTTTTGAGTATTGCCAAGTACTCATCATCAGTCTTAGGATATATTCGAATTTTTTAATTAGTTTATAGTCCGTTTATAATTTGTTTGGACTGCAACTGACATTCAAAATAAAAGTTAAATAGTTTTGATGTAACGCCTTAAAAATAAAATATTAATATTATTAATTAATTATTTATTATTATATCTTTTAATTGATACTATTGGGTATATACAAATAAAACCTCTAATTTTTTACAAAATTTAAAGCTTTATTGTGAAAAAATGGTTAAGCATTCAACCTTAAATTTTTCAAGAATTCAAAATCTTGCTCATTCTGGTCTTATTTATGCATTTCTCAATATGGTTTGACCTACTTTGTAACGTGTGAACGTAATTATCTTAACTTTATCGTCATGTAAAATAACTTTGTCATGTACTTCGGAATACTTCAAAATACTTCTATATTCCGCAAACGGAAAGAAGTAATCTCTTTTAACGCACCAAATATGTAGCACTACTACTTTTCTACTGATTAGGTATGTAAATTCGATATTTTCAACAAAATGTTTCTTCTTCTGTCATCTTCATCTTCCAGTGAAGCATAGTGTAGTGTGTATATGTGTATCAGAATGCTTAATAGCACAATATTTTATTAACATTCCATTCCCATACTTTGTTGCACTGCCTCAAAATGTTTTGACAAATGTTAAATTACACAGTTGGAGTTTATTTTTTTTTTTTTAATATTGAAGATGCAACAACTGACGTTATTATAGGTTTGAAGACCCAATAATGACTCATTCGTGGCATCAGTACCCGTCCTTATTTGTACTTAAATGATCTTTAATTCACAAGGTTGCTGCTTAACATAATGTTGTTAGATTTGACTCAAAAAATATTTAATGAAGAAAAAATTATTTTCAAAATGATAACAATTAAAAATTAATTTAACAAAAATTAAATATTATATGTACATATTATTATTTATTCCATACTCCATTAGGAGTTTAAGGATGCAATAAATGATTTCCATCTATCTCCATTCTGTGTCTGTTGTCTGAGCTCGTTAAATGATTTGGCAGTTTCAGTGTTTATTATTATTTGCTATGTTGGAGTGAACCTGCTTCTACACCGAACCTGCCTCACCCTGAAGCAGTGTGTGTATCCTATCTACTCATATTTTCGCTTTCGGATTTTAATATTTATAGAAGTTTGGCCGATTTACTAAACAGAGTTCTTAATTTGATAGCGTTCTCGGCCACCATATCTTCATTATAATTCCTAAACAGCGCAGTACGTAACGTATTACGTTTAAAGTACTAAAATTTTATCAAAACTCAAACTCTTTAATGAAATTTCATTTCTTAATTTAATTTCATGTTTTGAAAACTTTTTATTGTTTTATATCATTATTCCACGTACGAGTAGAGTTTGCTATTTTCGTCATGGATATTAATAGTCTGGAAATGTTTCCACAACAGTTGTTTGTTATTTTTATGTCGTCCTTGCAATCTCACCTGGAAATTTAAACTAAAGCCTAATATCGCAATGAAATTAAATGAACCCTGAATGCATGGAAACCAGCACAGCATAAACCACTGCAGAAGATACGGAAGCTGACATCAACGTGACTTGGAAGTGGAAATAAATAAGCTATTAAAGTTGCTGGGATTAAGTTATTTCAAAAGTATTTGTTGACTTAAAAAAATGGAAATTTATAAAATTTATACATAAAGTCAAATTAAATTTGAAAAAATTTCAAGAGTTCGCAGAATTTGAGGTTTCAAATTTAAATTTAAAAAAATTCTGAGAATATTCATTGAAACTTATTTAATACTTTAACAGAAATTATTTTGATATTTTCACTACAAATATTTGAGTACTCAAAGTTTTTACCTAAATTGTATTTATTTCCGGTACTTAGCTTCTGCCTACGAAACTCGAGGAATTAGAATTAACGTTGATGTTGTGAAGTTAACGACTCGTGCCATGGCGCTTTATCCTTAACAAATTTGGAAAGGATTTTCCGTTTCGCGGATGTACACAATTTCACGTTTACACCGTAAATATGCATCGTTTTGTTTAAACTTCCAAATGAAATTGTGATTATTCGGCTTAAATATTTTGTTAAAATATATTCTATTCCAAGTAATGTTAGATTATGTTTGTATTTTTACTATTTAAAGGCGTTTTAATAGATTTCGTTTGCACACATTTCAGTGTAATGACTCAGGCACAAATGTGATGTAGCAAGAATAGCAAAGGATTTTAAGGATTATAAGTTGTTATCATTACAAATACCTAATCATGATTAAAAATAGAGATTACATATAACAATTTTTGACTGAGTGCTATTGAAATACAGTCAAACAGCCTCTCTATAACGAAGTCGTTGGTGTCTACAAAAAACTTCTTTATAGAGAGGTTGCATTTGACTGAGAAATATGTACGTTTTTAACAGTAACAGTTGTGTTACTATTCTTATTATTCTCTTAGTGAGAACAGAGTGAATACTAGTATACGTTTACTAAATGACATAGGTGTCATTTTTGAGATTATATATTTTATACTAGGAGACTAAAAGTTGAGTCAAATTTATTTTGGTTGGTGATATATAGCTTAATATTTTGATATCACAATTTTAAGTTCATATTCGAAACAATTATATATATAGTTATATAGTTTTTAAATGGTTTCATGGACCCGAGTACCCGGTTATGGACTCCAAGGTTAAAGTTTTAAATAAGCTTCAAATCATGTCAGACATTGTTCCGTTAACAAAACAACTAAAATATGACTGACTATGAAAAAAAGTTAAAAAAAGCAAAAAATGTGAAAGTTAAAAAACACTTTTTATAACTAACAAAAATGAATCATTGAAACCGTGACCAAAAAGTTTTTGTTTTCAATTATAACCGCAACAAATTTTTTGCACTTGTTTTTAGAAAGTGAAATCTATACACTGGATATGAATATACCATCACAAAGTAAATTATGGATTCAAACATTTTCCTTTGAAATTCCAAATTCGTTTATTAAGCGCTTTTATTCTGCAGTCAAAGTTCAGAGGTTGCGGAAATACATAGTAGTGAAGTTGTACATTTTAAGTACATTCTTCAATTCAAAGAACCTAATATTTTCAACTAGTAAAACCAAAAGTTATTAAAAATACATAGAAAAAGTTTCATGTTTTTAAATTAATTAATTATATATGTTAACATTATTTTAAATTAAAAGCATTGTCAAGTATTTGTCGTACGAATAAATTGCTTGCTTTGAGATGATGACTAAATATTAGCTGCATACAATAAACTTTTAATGAGCAATTATTTTAAAGGATTTCATTTTAATATATAAAATCGTTTATTAGGATTTAAAATAAAATATTTTTAATATTTATTGTTTTTTTTTATAAAAAATTAAAAATTTATATAAACAACATAAGAGTCCACAGCTCAAATTTGACAGGAATAAATTTCTGACACTTGCATTATAAAAATTTGATAGATGTTTTCAAGAATCAAAAATGGATAAATTAGTTTAATTAAAAAATTTAATTTAATGAATAAAATTATTCTCATTATTACCACAGACAACTTATATAAATCTGTGCTATTACCTTATTGAAATAATTTTTTTTTATAGAACATAAAAAATTTAATTATAGGGATAAAATAACTATGTAAAATAATTACATATAAAAAAAATTAACAAAATTTTATATATAAAGAAAATGCCATTAAAAAAAGTAATTTTGCTTTACATATCTAGTCACTAGCAAAATTGAAAGAAGCGAAACAGCTAAGCTCGCAAAAGGCAATGCCTTAACTACATTCATTTGATCTAAATTTTTCTGCAGGACATTCACTTATTAGACTGTATTGGTACTTTAAATTATTGAATATGAGCTGTTTGTAATTTATAGGTTGACCCCTAACACATAAAGCAAACGATAACCAAGGCTAAGCATTCAGATAGTATATGCCTTATTGTTTCTTTTTTGTCTAAACAAAAATTATGCATTCCTACTATAACGAATGCTTATCACACATTTTCAAAGATTTTTTATTCTTTTA